TCTCTCTCTCTCTCTCTCTCTCTCTCTCTCTCTCTCTTTCCTTTTTCTCTCTCTCTTTCCTTCCTTTCTTTTTACTGGGGATTGAACCCAGGGACACTTAACCACTGAGCCCCATCCCCAGCCCTATTTTGTACTTTGTTTAGAGACAGGGTCTCACTGAGTTGCTTAGCGCCTCACTTTTGCTGAGGCTGGCTTTGAACTCACGATCTTCCTGCCTCAGCCTCCCAAATGGTATGCACCATCACCCCTGGCATTTTTGCTTCTTTATAAGTGGCCTGATCTCACWGATAGAGTTAATTAGGGTGAGGCTGATGTAAAATTTGAGAAGTGGATTTAAAGAATATAAGTTGGAGCTGGGGGTACAGCTTGGTGGTAGATAGAGTATTTGTCTAGTTCCTGGGAGGCTCTGGGTTTGATCGCCAGAACCACAAAAAATAATTTTAAAAAATTACATAAAGCAAAGGAAGTAGCTGGATGCAGTAATACACCCATCATTCTAGTGACTTGGGGGACTGAGCCAGGAGACTCACGAGTTCCAGGCCAGCCTGAGCAATTCAGTAAGACCTTCTCTGGAAAGAAGATATCAAAAGGGCTAGGGATGTGGCTCAGTGGTAGAGCAATCGGTGGTGCAATCCCCAGGGCCAGAAGGAAAAACAGAATATGAAGTAAAGGAGAGTCGAGGTGGCCCAGGGACAGAGCAAGAGGACATGCAGGTGAAACGAGACCAACTGGAGTTGGGCAGCAGAGATCAGAGGTCAGGGTGGGCTCCGTGGCAGTCTTGGGGTGAGGATCGTGACAGGCTCTGGGACAGCAGTTCTGCCTCTGTGGATTGGCATCCCCCTGTCTCCAGAGGATCTGGATTTGCAGCCATCTGGGATTGAACTGGACTTTCTGATGGGTCCCTCAGGGATCGCTTTCACCTGCCTTGTCCCCCCCCACCCCTTCTTGTTCTGGCTGTCCATGGGCCCTGGGCTACGGCAGGTGGGGAGAGGCTGCAGGTGCATGTCCTGGGTGGGGCATTGGCCACACAGGCTTTGCAGGGCCCCCTCCCCTCCCTCCATCACGGCTGCATCTGTCTCTTTCCTCCACAGGGGGAGGGGTTGCACCAACTACGCGAGGCTTTGAAGATTTTAGCTGAGAGGGTTTTAATCTTGGAAACAATGATTGGGCTCTATGGTGAGTAGAGACAGACAGACAGACAGACAGCCCAGCTGCTGCCTGTCAGCCTTCCCCAAGCCCATCCTGGGGTGGGACTTGCCTAAGCCCAGTCATGAGGCCTGAACAAGTCCTGAGAGGCCAAGACCACCCATCTCTCGATGACTGGCCTCTCCTCCACAGGAGAGGAGGGGCCCTGGAGACCCTGGATCCCCGCCTGGGGTCAGACCTGGGCCTCTGGGCATTGTGGGTGATGTGATTTCCAGGCCTGTGGGGAACCAGAGATGACAGATTGTAAGTTTGGAAGAGATGATGGGCAATGGAACCAAACTCTAGATCAGCAAGGGATTGTGGGTCACGGACCAGACTCCAGCAGTGCAGAGGTTCATGGGTAAGACAGAGACCAGGCCCACGGGAGGATTACGGGGAAATGGAGCCTCTAGTCAGACCAGCTCTGTAGAATCCGTAGGTGATAGAGCCAGTCTCCAGACCCAGGGACGGTAGGTCATGGAGCTCGACTCCAGAAGTGCAGCAGACTGTGGGTGACAGCCAGATTCAGGCCCCAGAGGACTCTGCGTAATGCACCATCTACATCCTGACCCCTTCCCCCAAGACTCCAGAGACTCTCCCATGGGCGCCCTCCTGGCCCCAGGTATCCCCCTTGCAGTTTCCACTTTGGTTCTCCTCACCTGTCCTGCAGTTACCTTTCAGGGATCAAAACAGACCCTCGCCCCAGGCATCTACCCCACAATTCCCCACCCTTCTGGTCACCTGAGGAGCCAGGCAAACCCTGTTCCCACCTTAGGGAGGGGAAACCAGGTGTCAGTGGAGACACATAAATGTCCCTACCTTGAAGACACCTGGCACCTGCCCACCCCGTTCACCCCTCAGCTTCCCTGCCCAGCCCTGGAGGCCAGAGTCGCACCGTCTGCTCTTCTCAATCTCCCATCAGGCTCCTAGCTTACAGAGCTTCCTGCAGCAGCAGGCTCAGCTGGAGCTCCTGGCCAGACGGGTCACCCTGCTGGAAGCCATCATCTGGCCAGGTAATGGTAGGGTGGGCAGGCAGGGGCAGCCCCTTCCAGGAAGGGACTGGGAAGGGCCTGGGCCTGCAGAGGGTGCCTCCTGATGCGTGGCCCAGGCCAGCAGACATTCATTCATCCTTCCGTCCACCCATACTAGGCAGTGACTGGCACAGTGAGGGCTCTGGTTTTGGGTGGATGAGCACCTACTCTGTGCCAGTCACGTCACTGGCATGGGCTTCAACAGATCAAACGCAGCCCTGCCCTTRTGAGCTTAGCGCACTGTGGGGCTGGGGACAGATCTGGCATTGGCTCTGAAACCCAAGATGAGATGTACTGTGGTGGGGTGGCTGGTGTGTGGGAGGGGGTCACTCAGGGAGGGCTTCCTAGACCAGGTGATGTCTTGGCAGTGACCTGAAGGACGAGGATCAGGGGAGAGGGAACAGGCAGCAGAGCAAAGGCCAAGAGGCCAGAGAGCCCAGAGGACTTGTTCCTCAAAGTTGCTGAGAGGTGAGAGTCAGGCTGGAGGATCTGGCAGGGTCAACAGTAAGAAGGTCCTAGAAGGCAGGCTGGGGTGGCACAGAAGGATGTCAGGACTCCAGGTGGGAGTACCCGCCCTGGTGCCTGGCTCCTGAGGTGAGGCTGAGGGTGTCCCTGCCCCTTCAATTAGAGCCTGTGGCTGGCACCAGGAGAGTATGGATTGACTGCCCCAAGCCCGGGCTCTGTTCCTTTCCTACTCACCCCCTGCTGCCCTTCGCCCACCTCCAGCCACCGCATCTGACATCCAGTGAACACATCAGTGCAGAGAGGCCCTGACATGATCTTACTCATATCTCTTTTATAAAAAGAGAAACTGAGGACCCAAGCAGGAAGAAGGGTCAAGGTTAGAACCAAGCCCCCTTTATTTAGCAGAATCACAGGGAGCATATACTGGATGCCAGGCTCAGGTGGGCACATGGGCCTTGCAGAGCAGCTGGGCTGGCTCTTGGGAAGCTGCCCATCAGTGGCAGTAAATCCCCGTATCTACATGGCTTTGGGGAAACCAAAGTGTCCAAGGATGTAGGTGAGGAGCTGTCACTTCCTGCTGGAGGTTGGAGAAGACTTCTTGGAAGAGGGGACACTTGCATTGGATCATGGAAGACTCCTGGGTGTGCCAGGTGGAATGGGGGTGGGGAGAGCCAATCCTGTCCGAGAGTCCTGCGTGGGCAGAGGCCTAGGAGGCTGGAAAGTGTGTGTGGGGTCCACTTCCACAGCCCACTCACCAACCTTGTGACTCCTCTCACAATGACTCTCCTGGACCTCTTTGCCCACCCATCTGGCCATTTGAGCCAGACAAGCCCTGTTCTCACCTTACAAGGGGAGACCAAGGTATGGAGAGACGCCCAGACTCCTGCCCTAAAGCCAGTTCATACCTGCCCCCCTCCATATCCTCCCTGAGCTCCACAGGATTCAAGGGATCACTGGGACCAAAGGACCAAGAACCCAATCCCGGACTCTCAGCACCTTTTTAAGAAGGCAACTGGGAAGGCCCATGCCCCTGTCAGAGGCCACAAGCCCTGGAGGCAGGCCCCTTTGGAAGTCAGYTTGGGTTAGGGCCTGAAGGGACCAGTATAGGGGAGAGGAGTAGAGGCAGATACAGGACCCACTGGGGCTGGGGGTGTACAGCTCAGTGGTAGAGCACTTGCTTAGCAAGTGCGCGGGGTCTAAACCCAGCACTGAAGAAGAAAAAAGACCCAGATGGTGCTTGTGTTTGGGTTATGATCACTGATAACAGCGGCAGCTACCTCCTGGGCTGGGATTCACATTGATCATCTCCAGTCCTTACTCTAGGGTCACCAGGTGGGCAATGCCCATTGAACAGGTAAAGAAACAGGCTCAGAGGGCTCACGTGCCTTCTCAGGGTCACTTTGTCTTCCAGAGCCCTGGTTCATTGGACTCCATCAGCAAAACACCTCCACCTAGCCCAGGGAAAATACAGGGCCCCAAATTTGATCATGTCATGACCAATCTTAGTGACCAGACCTACAGAAGATCTGAGTCCAAGCCACACCAATCTAGTGACCCTAATAGTCCAGGATTTACTGTAAAAACCATTTTTCACTCCTGCTCACATTAAACCTATTTTATTGCAAGAGTGTGACAACTGGAGTGTTATCTCCACATTCCAGATGAGGCTCAAAAGTTGGTGGCTTGCCCAAGGCCACCTAACTGGGACATGGTGGGGCTAGGTCTTGACCCTATTTGGTGCAGGAGCTAATGCTTGGTGCCACGCTCCTCCCAGGCTCCACCATAAGACTGTCCCTCAACAGTGACTGCACACGCCTGTCTTCTCTGGAGATCCCACGTCTCAGCCCAGGGGCATGTGGGCGCTGGCAGTTAGGATAGTGACAGGGCCCACGCCCTGGCGGTGCCCTCTGAAGAGTCCACGTGACTGTCCTGGAAATGGCTCTGAAGGCTTAGCCAAGTCCTCTACCCTGGGGCTCTCCTTGCTAAGTGTCCCTCTCCTGCTAGAAAAACAGTACCCTGTCTCATTTAGCTTTAAGAGGCAGAGCTGAGAGGCATAGGAGGATTCCTGGAGGATGAAGTTCCTGCTCTGGATTTTGAAGGAAGTTTTCCAAGTGCCAACAATGCCCATTATTCTGTTTCACTTTGGGGTACAGCTTACATCTAGATTGGGACATATCTCACCACAGTCCCATTGGAATTTTCACCTTTAATTAATTTAAATATTTTTTTAGTTGTAGTTGGACACATTACTTTTATTTATTTTATGTGGTGCTGAGAATCGAACCCAATGCCTCACATATGCGCTCCCACAATCCCACAAGCACCTAGCCCCAACCCCAACCCTGACTTCAGTAATTACTGGAGCTGCCTAGGCCCTCTCAGGGACTTATCTGGAAATGTCCCTGATTTGATTTTATTATTTACTTATTTATTTTTTGTGGTGCTGGAGATGGAACCCAGGGACTTGCACATGCTCTGCAAGCGCCCTACCAGTGATCCCTGATCCACCCCATCTCTTAATCACCCTTGATTTTTGAGACAGATGAGACCCTGACAAGGGTTCAGCTTGCCGCTGCACAGTAGATCAGTGGGGGAAACTGGCTCTCCTAAGTCCTTGCCCCAACTTCTGGCCTAACCCAAGGACAGTCAGTCTGTTCTCTAGCCTCTGTTTACCCAGCTACAAAATGGGTATGATACATGGCACACCTTCACTCCAAAATTAGGAAAGCAGAAAAAAAGAACTAAAGGTGTAGCTCCATGGTAGAGCGCTGGCCTCTCATGCATGAGGCCCTGTGTTCCACCCCAGCGCTGCAAAAAAAAAAAAACAAACCAACCACCTCTGTTTCACATGGAGCGTTTGCTCTACACAGAACAGTTCCTATAAACACAATAGGTCTGGTTATTATCCCCACTTGACAGCAGGAACCGAGGGGCCCTGGATGCTTTCATTGGGTTGGAGGGCTGAGAAACCCTGGGGGGCGGGRGGCAGGCACTGCTTAGCCTGTAGACAGCCTTCTTTTCCCACAGCTCTGCCTCCCAGACTCCAGGGTACACTGGCAGAGGGTGTCCAGTCCTGCAGGACCCCCTAAGGCCACGGGGAAGTGGACACCCAGTGTGGATCCCCTAACGTGGACTCTCCTTCTATTCCCTTCGGCAGAACCAGAGCTGGGGTCCGGGGCAGGTCCTGCCGGCACAGGCATCCCCAGCCTCCTTCGGGGAAAGAGGGGAGGACACACAGCCAACTACAGGATCGTGGCCTCTAGGAGCCGGGACAAGAGAGGCTGAGAGCGGTGGTGGCCCCTCGGGGTGGACCACACCAGTTTCCCTTCCTAGACTGGATGAAGCCAGCTCCTCCAGAGACTGCCAGTTCCTATTTATTGGTGTCCTCAGGGTCTCTTCTGCCACCTAGGCCTCAGAGGTGGGCAGATCTCAGCTCTGGAGCCCTGTGCGTGGCTGAGACACAGCAGCGACTGGAGCCTTAGAGGAAAGGGACAGCCTAGGCAAGAGGTGAGGTCTCACTTGATAAAGGGCCTGCTCCTCCCCTCTGTAAGATGGGGTGACACAGGCCTCCGAGGAGAGGGCACAGGCACGAGGTCTCTGGTCTCTTGCCAGCTGGCYAAGCCTCCATGCGAAGGCACTGTGGAGGCCAGAAACTGGTGCGTGGCCAGGCCTCCCACCCACAGGGACGCTGGCTGGGCAGTCTCCACCTCCCTCCTCAGCCACACTTCGGGGAGCTCCCCAGGATCCCTCCTCTCATTGTCTCCTGGTGCTGGGTTCCTAACCTCGAGGCCAGGCTGCCCAATCTCTAACTGGTTGGTTGGGGGGTCTTTGCCTCAGTTCTGCCTCCTGAGCCCCCACCCCCTCCCGGGGCCCAGGTCAGAGAAGGGGCTGCCTGCTCTCACAAGTGCCTGTGACAGACACTGGGAGGTAGATATGTACTGGCCAATAAAGGTCCCCTGCCTGAATCCCACCCCGTCTGGCTTCAGTGTGTCCTGGGACAGAGGGCAGCCAGGGAGGGCCTGCCTGGGGACAAGAGGAGTGATGAAGAATGCCCTGGCAGGGGACCCAGCCCAGCACTGAAAGACACAGCTTCCTGGGAGGAGGGGACACACACTGCAGGGTGGGAGCCCTGTGTCTCAGGACATGAAGGGGATGTCCTCCCCACCCGGCCACCCACTGCTCGCGCGCTCACCCCTTCGTTCATCCCCACACCCCAACACAAAGGAGTCAGATGCAACTGCTGCCTCCGATGAGGCCCAGGTTGGAAAATGAATTGGCTTTTATTCTTAAAAAAGCTACCAGGCAGCATGCTCTGGGGCCTCCCCTGCCCCCAGGGGTGCCCCAGTATCCCACGATGGCTCAGTGGACAGAGCAGGGACTCAGGCTACCTGCCTTTAGGCCAAGCCTGTGCCCCCACCCTCTGCCTGGGTTAGGGAGGCCCAGGGCCCTTGCAGTGGGCAGCCGCCTCCTCCTGGGTCACCAGGGGCRCAGTGTCCACCTGCCCCTCAACAAGCAGTGACACAGCACCCTCCACACGGCCTGTGGCTGCCAGGGCCACCACTGCCTGCTCTGTGGGGAAGCCCATGCGCTCCAACTGCTGCAGCCTRTGGACAAGGAGGGAGTGTCCGGGCGGCCCTGGCCCCACACCAGAGCCCCAACCTCCCCAACCCTGCTTACCGCAGAGAGGACACTGAGGACTTGGGCAGCCACAGTGGGCTTTGGGTCTCCTCAACTGGCCTGTCAAACAGTGAGGCCTGAATCCCCTCCTGCAGCATCTGCTCATCCAGGACGGCCCACATCGGGGCCCCTGGGGGGAAGCGGGACCCAGCCCAGTCCAGGCCCACCTCCAGGTCCTCCCAGGTCAGCTGCACGGGCCCCGGGCCTGGCGGGAGCTGGGCTGTGCCATCACCATGGGACCAGGGTGGAGGGGAGACTTGGTAAGGAGGTCCAGGGATGGCAGACCTGTGAGGGTGGAAGCAGAGAAGGGCCTCGCCACCAGTCACTGCCATGGTTTCGACCAGCAGGGCCAAGTCACAGCATCACCCTCACCTCGCTCCAGCAGGAAGGGTGACAGGCAGCTCAGCCAGGCTGCCTGGGGTGGGAAGGAGCCTCAAAGGCCAGCACCTAGCCAGGGTCCTGCACAAGATGCTCTCCTGCATCACCTGTAGGCGCTGCTCCGAGGGCTCCAGCCACCTTAAGGCTCTGGCAGCATCTGCCCAGAGCAGGGCAGTTGGTCAAGGAAAACCAAAGCCAGGCAGGGATGGGTCTGCTTTGCAYGGCCAGCCCCAGGCTGAGAGTGCTGGGCATTCATTCCTGGGTGTCTCACTCCCCATGGCCCTGAAGAAAAGTGTCTTCACCCCACAACAGCAAGACAAAGAGGGGGACCTAACAAGCCACTCAACCAAGAGCATGAGCCAGAAGTGCCTGCTCCCAATCCAGCCCTCCCAGCCTCAGCCACCCCAGCTGCTGTTCCAGGGACCCGCCTGCCTGCTCAYGGCTATGATTCTGCCAGGAAAAGTTCCACTGACACCTCTCCTGGCCTGAGCCAGGCCACCATGCTTCCATTCAGACAGGCCTGGGCAGCTGGTGTTAGAAACAGACTCTTCCCYTGAAGTCCCCACAGCGGGGTAGAGGGGCAGCCTATTGTCTCTGGTGGCAGTTTCCCCCAACAGGTATTAAGCATCTTTGGAGCAAAAGCCTATGTTTAAGGCAACTGCACCCCCAGCCAACTGTCACTCTCAGTTCTCAGAGAACCCCGGGCTCGTTCCCGGCCCTGGCCCTCACCCTTTCTGTCYGCCACGTGGCCGGCTTTTTCACTTCTCTTCACCTAAACCCTTYCTCCTGAAATTTTGGCACAGATGCCACCTTCAGGACCCAAGTTAGTGGGTCCTGTTAGTGCCTCCTCGATCACCTCAGCACCCCCAGGCTTCCCATGGGGCCCTTTAAATTGAAATTGGCTCCTCCACCTGGTCATGAGCCCCCAGTCCCCAGCCCGAGCATGGCCCAGAGGGAGATGCTCCCAGATATGTGTGCACAGCCACCGGACACTGCTTGGGCCTGACTCCGTTGTACCACTTCCTTTCCACCCGGAGCCCTAGCCACAGTACCCACAGGCATGGGCCCTGTGCTCAGGCAAAGGATACAGGCCAAGCCAGCAAGGAGGCCACAAAGGAGCTGCAGGAAAGGTGGCTCGGAGCTGAGCAGGGGGGTCAGGGCAAGCAGCAGCCATGGCAGCAACCACGGTGGCAGCAGTCCCTGGGAATATCTAGGGCAGTGACCTTGCCCTGCCAGCATGGCCAGGTGGACAGGCATGTATCCACAGCTACCAGCTGCACTGGACACACCAAGGCCTGCCAGCAGCACAGCCAGCAGCCCAGTGGCTAGGGAGAGCAGGGCAGAGGCGTGCAGGAATCGCAGTGTGCCCAGGTGGCACTCCTGCCGCCAGCCCAGGACAGGCAGGAGCAGCAGGCTCAGGAGCAGGCCAGGCAGGGCCGTGTGGCCCAGGGCATGGGTCAGCAGCCGGTGCACTGGGAGAGAGAAGGGCTTATGCGTTTGGTTACTGGCCCCACCCTTCAAGGCTGTTCCAGGTGTGCTAGGTCGGGGGATCAGCCTCCACCAGGACCACCTCCTAAACCAGCCTCCCCTCATCAGGAAGCAATGTGCTCACTACTAGCACCTAATCACTATTAGTGATTAGGACCAAGTAGAGGGGACCAAGGGCTTCCAAATRTCATGGCCACACCCCTGTTGTGTTAAACAGAACAAAGGACCAACCACTCAAGTCTTCTGCACTCACTATGGAGCACTCACTGTGTGTCAGGCATGGTGAAGGTGCTCTACAGAATTTACCAAATCCGTCAAGCCCAGGTGGAAGCACAAATTGTCATGAGACTTCCCGCTTCACTCCTGGAGCCACCTCACTCCCCAGGCTGTGTGGTCTTAGACAATTTACTTAACYTCTCTGAGCATCATTTGGGTTCCTCAATTATAAACTGGAGCTGTTGTTATTATTGACAAACAAGTGCTCAACTGGGGACCACTCCTCCAAGCCCTAGCACCTCCTCCCCATCCTCATGCTTAGCTGAAAGCTTAGTACCGATTTTGAGGGAAGGCTGTCAGAAGAGAACTCCCCACAAATTCCCACCCCACGCTGCTGGCCCTTCTGCAGGGTCCTTGGCCCTCCCTGGCTGTGGATGAGCTGGGCATGCTCCTGTTTAAGCTGATCGTCCCCAGGGTACTAGGTCCCACCCCTGTACAACCATGCTGCTCCCACCAACTGATTGCAGACCCTGCAGCAACTCTCCAGACTCTCCTAGGTCCACTTGGCTGGCCCTCACCCTGCCAGGGGTCCAACAGCAGCTCCGGGGCCAGGGTCAGGCTGGGGCCGGCCCCCACCAGCCACAGGCTGCTCATCAGCAGCATGAGGACAGAGGAGGCAAGAGGCAGCGCTGGAGACAATAGGCCAGGGGGTTCCCTGGCATGCATACTTGGCTGAGGAAGGTCAAGCGTGATCCCGGGGCTCTGTGCTGTGGGAGTAAGGGAAACAACAGTTACTACTGCAGGTTTTATCTCTCTCACTCCCCACACTTGACCCGCCTCATTTTACAGTGCTGGGAACTAAGGATGGAGAGGCAGGCCCAGCAGCTTGGCCATAGTGCAGCCCAGAGCCCAATCCATCTTCCCTTCCACCTGCCCATATGTGAGAGTCCYGAGTTCAGATGGGCCCTGGTACTGGGCCTGGAAAGTTAACTGGGGCCCTGGACTGTAGAAAAGAAGGGTAGAGCTCCCCCAGGGCATATTCAGGGCCACCTCTAGCCACCTTTTGCTTCCTAGTTCCCTCAGACTACTACCTTCCTCTCACTACTACTCCATTTTGCCCAGTCTTAGGGTTCCAGATGGCCTCAGTTGCCCTTGACCAAGGGRTCAAAGCCAGCCAATGGGCAGACTGGGGAGGGGGTGGGGGAGGACTGGCAGAGGGGTAACAGGGTCCCACACTGTGAGCCATACAAAATGACCTGGGACTAAGGCATCTCCTCCTCCCCAATCCTGAACATAGCTTCTCTGGCCCCAAYTTCTCCCTTCACATAAAACACCAATATCTGTTCCATCTCTTTCTGCTATATAACGGGGCAACTTTCCCAGCCTCTGAGCCTTCCCTTTCTCATCTGTGAAATGGGGAATAAGAAAATCCTTTCTTCACAGTGTGAGAAGAGAAAGAAATAGGCTAAGGCAGGCTCCAGCCTACAGWTCCTGCTCAGTAAACTGTAGCCATCCCCTCATCCCCACATATGCACATACAGCTGCCAACTGGCCCAAAGAAGAGCCTCAATAGGAAGTTAGTTGCTCAAGCCTCTCTGGTCCAAGCTCTGGGCTCCAAACCTTGCCTTTCCTGCACACAAAGCAAAGCTCTTTTCTCCCCCATGTTCCCCTATGACATCCAGGCTGTCCTCCAGCCCCCGCTGGAGCCCCTTCACCCCTGGCCAGGCCTCTGTCTCAGGATGCCTACTGAGCTGATTCAGAGAAGAAAATAAGATCCCAGAGACACAGGAAGGCTGCCTAGTCGGCTTCCTTGCCAAGGGCAGCCCCTGCATCTGCCAGGTCCTTCAGGGAAAATGAGGAAAACTTCTCTGCCTGAAATGTCTTTCCTTCCAACTCTCCAATCGTCACACTTCTACTCACCCTTTGAAACCCAGCTCAAATGTCCTTTCCCCTCTGACACTTCATTTCATAGCTCTTATCCTATCTCATGAGCACAGCCTCCGGAGGTAGGTAGTTTGAATTCATAGGAGGAGGGGCTCCTCTTATCCCCAGGTTCACCAGGGTACTCCCAGCACACAGCTGGTGCTTTTTCTGTGTTCACTAAAAAAACCCACGAACTTGGCTTCCAGYTCTGCTCAGGAATTTAGGGTGAGCCTGCCCTGCACTGGATCTGAGCACCCACCTATGTATGCCACTGGGGGAAGGTTTGGGAAAGTGGGCAGGTGACAGCCTTGCCTGGGGGTAGAGTCTAAGGTCGCAGCAAACTTCCTTTTCACCCTCACAACCATCCACCTACTGGGCACCAAAACAAGGGTGAAGGACTTGCCCACAGACACAGAACTGGGACTTGAGCCCTCTGGAGCTGCTTCGTCAATTCACAAAATGGGGCTGAGCACCCCAAGGCCCTGCCTACCTTAGAGGGAAGCCAGGCGCACAGAATGGGAAGTCAAGGACAGGGACGATTCTTCCGGATGGTGGACAGAGTGGGCTGGTGGGTATCCTAGGGTCTGGGCCAAACTCAGCTTTGTGACTTTGGGGAAAGTACTCAACTTTCTTCGGCCTCAGTTTCCCCTTCTGTTAAGACAAGGGTATTGGATGCGGGAAGATTAAAGGACCTTCTCAAGGCCGACCGTTACTGGGGGAGGGCCCTCGGGGGCCGGCCAGGCGTTCGGGGTGTCCCACCTGGCTCACCGGCCTCGGTCCCCTCCCCCGCAGGCCCAGGCCACGCGTCCGAGGTACTCACCGCGGAGCACGCCCCCCACACCGGCGGGCCGGGCGGGGCCCCCCGGCTGGGAGTCGGCACTCCGGCTCCGGGCTGAGGCCCAAGGGCTCCAAACCCATCGTGCGCGCACGAAGGCGCGTGACCCCAGCCGACCGGCCACAGCGCAACCCCCTCCCCCTCCCACGCCGCCCGCCGCCCGCCGATTAGTCAGCAGTTGTGCTAGGCCCCGATCCCTTCCCCCAGCCTCTCCCGCCGGCCTCCGTTTCCCTCCAGGGCAGACTCTTCAGAGACGGTCCCTGGAGCCCGCGGACGTAACCACTGCGAACGACCTAGCCTCTTGCGGGGAATCGCTCTGGTTTGATACTGACACCGGTTCACCACCCACTCCGGCCCCTTCGGTGCTATTTTGGCTCTCGCGTCACGTCGGCGATCTTAGGAGAAGATTGAGACAACAGTTTCGGGCTTGAAGATCGAAAAAGCAGTGGCTCATTCCTTCTTCCCCCACCCCCGTGGCCTGGCCCGATGGTAGCGCCCGAGGTTGCGAGTTTCGCGCCTGCGCAGTGCGGCGCCTAGAGGGAAAGCGAGAGGGAGACGGACGTTGAGAGAACGAGGAGGAAGGAGAGAAAATGGCGTCCACGGGTAAGTGTGGTGGAACTGCGGTCGCGCAGGCGACGGTCGGGAAGCCCGAACTGGGGGCTTCTCCTCTTTGGGGGTGGCCGAGATGACTGAGTGGAGTTGCCGAGAGGGGTTGGAGGTACCCGCCACGGCCCGACGAGTTCGGGGRGCCTGCGGTCTCGTCTTCTCCCCTCCCCCCATCGGGTGGGCCGGTTCTGGAACCTTCCGGCTCCCGTGGCGCGCGGGGGGCTCGCGGCAGCGGGGGCGCGCGGGGCCGGTCTTGGCCTCCATTGTGTGGCGGTCGTCAGGCCCCGCGCTCCGGCCGCCACGTGGGCGGGGCCTGCGGCCTCTGAGGCCCCGCGTGAAGGGGGGGGTCCGCGGCCGCGCCTCGAGCCTGTCACCCCGAAAGAGGGGGGCTGGAGAAGCCGCGGGCCCGCTGCCCTCGTGACCCCCTCCGATTCCCAGGGAGGCGGCCCTAGCTCCAGGGCGACTCTTTTCACGGAGAAACGCGGGGGAAAAAGCAAATAAACAAAAAAAGGCCTCGCAATGTGAGCTGAGGGGCGCCGGCTTATGAGCGCGAGCCCCGTCATCCTTCGGGCCCGGTGAAGTGGGGCTGCCGAGCTGCCCGCCTGGGCGGCTTCAGCCCGAGCACGACTTCTGCCCCGTTGGCCTTCAGACGGAATGTCCCCCACCTTTAGAGGCCCCCAATTTGCTGCTCCCTTGAACTTACCAGTTTTTATAGTTTTGTGTTAACACTACCTCTTTTCCTCCCCCAAAAAGCAATTAAGTGGCTTCCCGGGGTCCCTTTTCAGCCAACGCCGAGGGAGATCGGTTGTATAATAAGGCCGGCCTGGATCGGGAGACCAGAATTTCTACCAGAAAGAAATTTCTGGCCTCTTTGATCCAAGAGGGACAAAAAAGCCCTAGCCGACCTTTGAATTATGCTTCAGCCATCGTTTTGCACGTTTTTATATTCGCCAAGCTTGTTTATTTCGTGAACTGATGCGGCGGGGGGGGAGCAGCGCAGAGTGAACTTTAAAAGAAAGCCCGGGGTGAGAACTCGAGAATATGGGTAGGGGGGTCTTAACTGCCCCGCAGCCTTAGCCTGCAGTTTGCAGCTTGTCGTTTTCTAATCCAGGGTTTTTGGCTGTGTGGAGTGTTTTGCCTCTGGGGGTATTCTTAAGCGGGCCGGATTCCAGGCCTTAGAGGAAATGGGGARCCGAATGAGAGGGAAGGAAAATTCTGAGTCCTTCAGAGTTTTACTTTGGAAAGACTTCAGCATCCAGCAGGTGAAGGACAATTTAAGAACTCTGCCCATCTGTCTGGTCAGGAAAATGTTGGCTTTTGGTGCCAGACTACCAGGAGTGTCCCCTAGAAGAGAGGACTCTGAGATACCATGTCCCAAGACATTCTGGTGGGAAATGGTTTCCCCAATGCCTTTCCACCCTATTCCTGCCTCCCAAAGCCTGAGGGGGGCCAAATGTGTACATTCAAGTTTTTGCATTGCTGAACATGCCTTTTTCCAGTATACTGTATTAGAGTTGCACGTGGTTTTCATGGCCACACCTGATTAAAGCCCTTCTGGGCGACCTTTGGGGAATAACATAACTTATCTGCACCTTAGGTTCCTTTCCTGGAAAATGTGGGAGTATGTATGCTAGACCTTTTTTATGTAAGTTTGACCTTTTAAAAAAGTTTGTTGAGCCCTCCTGACCTTACAGCAAAAGCATTTCTGCCCAAAGTTGCCCCATGCTGACTTCAATGCCTTATGTAATCTGAAGCTCTAGATCTCTACACCTTGGGTAGTGACAGCCCTAATGCCACTGTCTTGGGTAATGGTTAGGTGTTTTCCCCTCTCATTTATATCATGTAGTAAAGTACCTGCAGAGTATGTCCATTTCAGCAGGATTATAGTACAAAGCTTCTAACCACCATTTGCACCAAGAAATAGAACATTACCAGCATTCTGGGCCCTAATCCCCCACTTCTGCCCTTCTCCTTGGCCTATGCTGTGTTTTAGTAAAGTCTTCAATTGTGCATTTGGGGATTGGAAACAAGCACAACTGGTTGTTGAATAATTTGATCAGTGTGTAACTGTAACATTTTTGAGGCCATATGATGTTTGTGTACTGTAAGGTTTTCATGAAACAACAGATTTACTCCCACCATACAGGAGACCCAAGTCTTCTGGTTTCCCACTGAACTGAGGTCATTAGCTGTTCCATATCAGCTTTGCCAATTTTATGCTTTATATAATTGCGCTTGTGTAGAAGTCTTGTAAGTATTGAACTATATGTCATTGATTTAAAATCATTTCTCCTATAGAAACATCAGTAAAATGTAGGTTGAAATATTGTGTTTTAGATGCTTCATTGGTATTTTGTGAATGCCAGATGGAAGGAATGATTTACACTTAATTTTTATAGGTTGTGTAAAGAATATAACGTAGTGCTATTAAAAATGCTTTAAGATTATCTTGAACAGATCAGGGTTTTTTGGTTATAGATATCTTTGGGGCAGTTGATTTGATAATGTTAATGATTCAGGGTTCTGTGTTAAGTGAGGAAGGAAAGTTAAGTGCAAAGAGGTAAACAAACCAACTTAAAGAGATGGATTCAGCAAAGAACTCTGAGGCCAAGAGATTGTGAGGCAGTCTTTGGATTTCATCAAGTGGGGTAGAATCCCTCCATGAAGAACTGAGATGTCAACTGTTGCTTTTGGATGAGGGACTACTTTCTGACTGGAAAAGAAAGGACCCTTTTTTCCCCTATCTTAATGGCAGTACTGTCTTCAAGCATTGAACAGGATGTGTATTCTTGTGGAGAGGAAAGAATTGGGCAGAATTTAAGATGATTACGTTAGCTGCCTTTAGGAGGAGGAAACACCTAAACTTATATAACTTTAATTCAGTGGTGCTATGAAACTTAGCGGTTTTATTTGCTGTTTGCTGCAGAACCTCAGCGGGCTGCAGTCCCTTTTGATGTTGTAAATTTGCTGTGGAAAGGAAAATTGTAGGAGTATTTATTTAGAAAGAAGAAAATTTGTGGATACTTTTTTAATTTTTATTTTTTTCAAATCACTTTGGATTTCAGGAAATACAGTAGTGTTATCTAAAATCATATTGTTCCCTGGCAGATTAAAAGCTTTCTCCTCTTTGACAATTTTCAAGATTCTACTTAACTTGACTGCACTAGGATTTATACTGTATCTAGCTTTTGAGTTACTATACTGATGTAGCCCTGGTGCAGTTGGCAGACTCTTTAAAATACTAGATTATAACACTAGATATAATTTTCTGCCATTCCGTTTCAATGACATTGTGCTAGGGAATTCTGGTTGGTCTTGCTCACCAAAGCAAGATGTAGTGATAGAAAAACTAGTTTTTGAGGAGATGCAACTGCTAATTAATCAGTTTGGTGTTAAACATTGTAATATTGTTGCATGTTTTCTTTTCTTTCTTTATGAATGGAAAACATCTGATCCTCTATAACCTTAGAATGATCATGCATTTGAAATGATAGCCTGTGATTAAAGAAGGTTTATGGTCATGGGAACATGCAAAGGATCCTTGCCACATCACCTGATCTTGATCTCCTAAGTTAGCACCATATTCAAACTTTCCGAGTTTAACTAACTTAGACTTAATTGGTTTGGTTGCTGTTGAGAAATAAGAGGTAGTCATTTGGACCTGTGTCAATTCTCTCTAAATAGTTTAGGGTTCTTGGTACCTTGAATTCCTTGCACTTATTTTTTTCTCCTTTCATCTTGTCTTTACTGACTTTACACTATTTTCTCTCATTGTTTGCTCTAGATTACAGTACCTACAGCCAAGCTGCGGCCCAGCAGGGGTAAGTCAGTTTTTTGTGATATTTTGTCTGTGATTAATGTTTTTAGAGTATGGAGCCTCCTATAATTGTAGAAGATATAGTAATGGAATAAGAACGTTCTATGTTCAGTTCTTGCATTTAATTCTTTTGCAGCTACAGTGCTTATACCGCCCAGCCAACTCAAGGATATGCACAGACCACCCAGGTAATTTTTGAGATAATTAAATGTAACTGCATCTCCAAGTAAAAATGTTTCTTTCTTTTTTTTAAGGGAACACTGCAAAGGACAGTTTCTTTTTTAAAAAAAATATATTTTTTATTTGTAGATGGACACAATATTTTTGTTTTATTTATTTTAATATATATGTATTTTTATAACTATTATTTTTTTGTGTGGTGCTGAGGATTAAACCCAGTGCTTCACACATGCAGGGCAAGCATTCAACCACTGAGCTACAACACAGCCCTCCAGATAAAAAGTTTCTATTGGCCATTAAAACAGCAGCTAACAGATGTTTTTTAAAAATTAGGTAAAAGTAACATGAGAGCTAGGGTTGTGGCTCAGTGGTAGAGTGCTTGCCTTGTGTGCATGAGACCCTGGGTTCAATCCTTAGCACTGCATAAATAAATGTATTGTGTGCATCAGCAACTTAAATGTAACACAAAACAGCAATAGTAGAATTTTTTGTTTAATCATTAGAAATTCAGAAATTTTTAACTTTCTTAGTGGAGTACAAAGGGCTCCATTCTGAATCATAAATGAAACCATCCCAAAGTTGGGGATTGGCTTTCAGTGACTTTCTAGATTTTTAGAGGTCCTGTCCCATGCATGGTATTTTTACATTTTATTATGTTTGAATTTAATTATCATAGCAGTTCTGCAGAAGATGATGATAGGACCATTTGCAAATGAGAAAATTGTAGTGCATAGATTCTACATAACTTGCCAGTGATTACACTTTAAGTAGTGGGGTCAGCTCTAAAAGTCCTAGCTGCCAGTCTGAGGAGCTCTTGAGCTCTTTCCAGTACAAGTCTGTGTTTAAAAACTTCGAGGTTGAGCTAGGGATATATATAGTCAGTTGGTAGAGTGCTTGCCTTGCATGCACAAGGGCCTGGGTTCAATCCTCAGCACCAAAAAATCCAAAAAACTTAAAAGAGTTTTTTCAGTGTCCTGAGATCACCTCAAATTCTGAAATGGCCCACGTCATAAAATAGATAACTAAGAACTACTGTGTAGGAGAGGCAGAATGTAATGTTTCTGACGTATCTTACATAACTGGCCATTCAAACAGACCTACAATAAGATCATGTTAATATCTGAAAGAACAACTCATTCCTTGCTAACTTAATATTATTGATGTACTAACTGTGAGAACATACAGTGTAGTCATGCTGAAATTCTGGTTTTCAGAATTGACAGATTTTAGCTTCATCTTGATTTCCTTTATCCATTCTGTTTTCCTAGCATTTGTTTCTAGTTACTAAAACTGCTACACTAAGTGCTGGCAATTACACACCTGTGCCCTCCCTTATTGCTTTTCCCTTAAGAGTATGTTGACCTCCTTTATAGTTAACTGGGGTTTTGCCTAATTATCAGGAAATTTTTTTGTTAACTTTATTAATAAACTAAGCAGATTAAAGTCTATCCAATTATTTATTGTTAAAATACAGGATTCATAAGTGAAGTTCTTTCATGCATTTTCTTTGGAGCAGGCATATGGGCAACAAAGCTATGGAACTTATGGACAGCCTACTGATGTCAGCTATACCCAGGCTCAGACCACTGCCACCTATGGGCAGACTGCATATGCAACTTCTTATGGACAGCCTCCCACTGGTAAGGCGTGCTTTGGGGGGTTTTGGGGATCATAATGGCTAGGCATTTGCAGAAACTTGTTACTCATATTCTTGGATATACATTCTGGTTCTTGCATTGTCATCTGGGGATCTTTTATTCTAAGGAGGAGGGGGTTTTTTGTTTTTGTCCCTCCCCCACTTCCTTAAACTTTCTTTGAGGGATATCTAAGAATGTGGGTGGGATGAATTTCAAGGGAGTAAAGAACTTTTGAACTTTGTACTCTGTATTGAATGCTCTCAAAACAAAATGGAGACTACTTAAAATATAGTGCTAATGCTAATACTGAATAAGAATGAGCCTTGTGAAACTGAGTTGCTTAAAAATCAAACTGGTTTTCCCATCTGTTTGCTTCATCTGATAGTGTACCCTCTACTTTTTGTTTTGTGCTTTCCACAGTAGAAGGGACCAGTACAGGTTTGACTATCCTGCTCATTCTTGCATGGGAAATGCTTTCCATCTTGTCTAACCCTGTAATGTTAACCCTTTTAGGTGTTTCCATTTGTTTAACCCCAAGACTTTCTAACATCACACACAAAAAGGTGCTAATGAAAAAACTGCTTCAGGTGCCATTTGCAGATCCATGTCCTTTTTTAAATATAATTTTGGGAAAGGTATTATTATTTAACATTTTTGTCAAGTCTTAATAATAGTTTATTCACCTTCCCAAAGGTATTTCAGATGATTACTCACCAGCTGATTTCCCCCGTTCCCTGAGGAATAGATTGCATGATTAGATTTATTTAGAGGAGCAGATTGCCACCCTGCATGTATCATGTTTGTGTGTTGGTTTGTTTCTAGTCCAGACACATTGTTTTATTTCAAATGTTATGAATTATTTTAATCCATAGTATGTCTTAGATTTATATAATATATTCCATATAATAATAATCCAGGAAGCTAAAAAAATAAACTTAAGAATTAGAATAAATTATATCCTGTTACTGAGGTTGAGTAGAGTTTGTGAAAAGTTTGTGATAGCTGGATGTGGTGCTACATACATATAATCCCAGCAACACAGGAGGCTGAGGCAGGAGGATTTCAAGTTTGATCCCAGCCTTGGCAACTTAGGGAGACCCTCTCTGACTCAAAAAGGGCGAGGGATGTAGCTCAGTAGTCAAGGTTCTTTCAGGGGTCTGGGTTCTATCCCCAATACCAAAAAAATAGTCTGTGGTAATTTTTTCCACCTAGTGCTGTGTAAAGTTTTAGGCTCTCTGCTTCCATTTTTTTTATTAGTATCATAAAAAGGATTTAGCTGGGTGTGAAGGCACACACTGATAGTCCCCAAAACTAGAGAAATCAAGGCAAAAGGGTCACAAGTTCAAGCCCATCCTGAATAACTTAAGGGTACAATCCCCAGTACCTTTTTTTCTTATTTAAAAATTTAAAAACTAGCTGGGCATGGTACACATGTATAATCCCAGCGGCTCAGTAGGCTGAAGTAGGAAGACCACAGGTTCAAAGCCAGCTTCAGCAACTTGGTGGGGCCCTGAGCAATTTAGCAAAATCCTGTCTCAAAATAAAAAGGGCTGGGGATATGACTCAGTGCTTAGGCACCACTGGTACACCAGAAAAAAATAAAAAGGAAATACAAGGTTTTAATATAAGAAAGTGTTAAAAGATATAAAAATTATTTTTCACCTATCTTCAGTTGTCCAAATTATATATAGTCTAGTAAGAGGGAAAATAACCTGTCATTTGCCTCATCAATTACCAGTGTCATAGGCTGGGGTTGTGGTGCAGTGGTAATGCGCTTGCCTAGCATGTGTGAGGCACTGGGTTTGATTCTCAGTACCACATACAAATAAATAAAATAAAGGTCCATCAACAACTAAAATAAAGTACCATGTCGTGAGTTTGGTGGGAAGTTTATATAAACTTTCTATGGAAAGAGCTGAAAGTAAAATTGCATTTTAGATTTCTCTAAAGCAAAAAATTTGAAATAATTTTACATATATAGGCTGTAACATTTTTTWAAAAAATAAACATTGGCTTAGATCTAGGCTTTGGAATCCCTAAACCATTTTATAGGGAAGAGATAGAAGTTATTTATAGCAAAATAGTAGTCTGCTACATTATTCAGAGCCATGCATTCACATTGTCATTGATTGGAAAAAATCCTGCAATGATTGTGGGTCCAAAAAGTGTAGGATGTTCTAATATACAAGTCAGTGACGACCCAGAGATTTGCATTTAGTAGTAAGAAAGAATGTTTATGTAGACTTTGTAGTCTGTAAGAGGTACCCTTTCCTTTGCACATAAAAGTCATTGGATAATTATTGGAGAGGATGTGTAAAGATACACCATCCTATGGTTTTTCCAAATTAAGCTTCAGAAGAAAGGGACTGTATATGCATCTCAGTTACTTGATTCATATAGAATTCTCGAACTGATTTTTACTCTTCAGGTTAAACAAATATTTGGGTTGGTTTGTGTAAATGTTTCTTCCTATATTTTTACATCAAGTCATTAGAACATAGTTGATGTGTTGTCTTCTTTGCTGTTGGTCTTTTTTGTTATCATTGAATCATTTTGCTCTGATGAGCTTTGGCTATTTTGCTTGGCTGCTTGTGAGTACTACAGATTAATTTTTTAAAATCATTGATTAACTCAGTGACTAATATTTAGCACTACAAGGCTCTGTTGCTGCATAGTTTTGTGACATAGTTATTTCCCTGATCAATTTTAGGTTTTGTTTGTTTGTTTTAACTTTTCTTGTGAATCTTATAGATGGCTATCATTAAGTAAGGGGAAATCTGTAAGAGTATAGGGTAGATGGAATTAGATTCTAGTAAATTTTGAATACATGAATGCTTTGTATTTTTACTCTTTTTGGACTCTTGGAAAGATTTGCCCCGCCCTTGCTCCAGTACCGAGGATCAGCCTAGAGCCTCACATGCTAGGCACATGATCTGCCATTGAGCCACATTGCAGCCCCATGCAAAGAGCTTTAAAATGAAACAGGCGGGGATGGGGGTATAGCTCAGTGCTACAGTACTTGCCTGGCACACACAAGGCCCTGAGTTTTACATGCCCAGCACTACAAAAACAAAACAAAGTTCAGATGAACACATCAACTTTTAAAACGTCTATTGTTTGGGGATGTTTTATGAAGTATACTTTTGTATACATTTCATCCATTGCTTTTTATAAGGAAGTTACTGTACATAATTTCAGAGTTTCTATAAATATTTGGGATAGGTAAGAAAGTATTATGCTTTGTGCTACAAGAAGTGACACTCATGCAAAAAGAAGTTGAGGGGCTGGGGATGTAGCTTATTGGTAGAGTTCTTGCCTAAGCATGTGTGAAGGCCTGGCTTAAATCCCTAGCACTACACACACACACACAAAATAAATAAGTGGTAGTTGATAATTGTTTTTGGCTAGTACGTTGTGTGTTTGTAAAGACACTTTATTCCATATAGGTTAAGGCCCTAAATGTTAACTAAAATGAGCAGTCAGTTCAAGATTGGCTTTAAATATTGAAACGTTAAAAGGACTGGGGATGTGGCTCAGTGGTAAAGCACCCTAGGTTCCAACCCCCCCCACCCCCGAAAAAAAATGTTTTATCCAAAAAGTTAAATAGGATAATCTGTTAGTTAGGCAAACATAATGTATAGTATGATCTTTATTCCTCAGACCATTTCTGCTCAATGCTGATAATTGTTTTTTAGTTGTTACCTGAAAYATAAATGGCAGTTCTTTCTTCCACTAAAAATTAAACACGTTCTCTAGAATTTCCAATTTCCTTAAATAAAATGAATAGTCCATGATGCATTGTTGGGACTGAAAGAAAGTAGTTAAGTAAATTCCTAAATTATTGTTTTAAGTACTTAAACAAGTACCTGGATCATTGTTTTGTAGCTATTTTAAATTGCCATGTTACTTGCCACTTATCCCCATTTCTGGGAGACTGTATTTCCTGCTTGAGGGATTTTTGAGGTACTTAAGTTCGTTAGTTAAAAGGAAGCTTGCTGGGCTGGGGTTATGGCTCAAGCAGTAGAGTACTCTTCTAGCATGTGTGGGGCACTGGGTTAGCTCCTCAGCACCACATAAAAATAAAGATATTATGTCCACCTAAAACAAAAAAATAATAATTTCTTTTTAAAAGGAAGTTTGCTAGCAAAATCAGCCCTGAATCAGCAAAAAGCAGACTTCTCTCATGTCTAAAGTGTTCAAGAGGGGACAGAAGGAAGCCTGTTCTGTTATCAGTTTTTCCAAAGCATATTCTTTCTCCCCTTATTAGATTGTATTTTAAAGCAAATGAAATGAAAGTTTTTTACTTTACTAAGAACTAGGTACTTTCAGAGAACATAAGCTTCAAATATTGGTTTGTTGCTAATCTTGCTGCAGGGTAATATATAAAGGGATGTGATGGTTTAAAGTGGGTGGTTTACAGATTTTCTCTTTATAAGTATCTAGGCAGATCTCCGGGGAGGCCAGAAAAATCTGACCTAGCTCTCCTTTGTTCTAGGTTATACTACCCCAACTGCCCCCCAGGCATACAGCCAGCCTGTCCAGGGGTACGGCACTGGTGCTTATRACACCACCACYGCTACYGTCACCACCACCCAGGCCTCCTATGCAGCCCAGTCTGCATATGGGACTCAGCCTGCTTACCCTGGCTATGGGCAACAGCCAGCAGCCACTGCACCTGCAAGGTAAGGTACACTCACGTACTCACTACTCTCTTGAGATGCATCAGCCTCAGGTTTGAGAGGGAAAGCAACTGTACACTTACAGATTCTGTGACTTAGTTCCCTTTTAACAATTATTCTCACACATTTAAGTGTTGTGGTTTTCTTTTCTTTCTTTTTTTTTTTTTTTTTAAGTAGTTAATGGACACAATGCGGGGGGGGGGTGTCGAACCCAGTGCCTCTCCCATGCTAAGCAAGCACTGAGCCACATGAGCCACAACCCTGGCCTGATTATGTTCTTAATAGTCATTCTAGTAACTAGTGTGCTAGAACACAGCACAAAGGTATTCTCCACTTAGAAGTGAAATGGCACTGTGTAAGGGCCAAAAAGAGAAATGTCAATCAGTAGATTGTCTGGTTTCAGAACGTACTTTTGGAGATAGGAGGAGGCTATTATTTTTACTTTGCTAAACCCAGAAAAAAAATGTGTATTTTCCTTTACAACTGAACTGCCAATAGAATTGTATTTTTGATACCTTTATCTTTGGGTTTTATTGATCCTTTTGATGGGTAAAAGTTTTCCCTTTGGGGAAAAACGTAGGTCATGATAGGGAGATTAGTATCCTATGAGTCAAGAAATAGTTCTATGATCCAGTTATTAGTAAAGGACATACCCATATCTGGGAATTCAAACATTAACTGTCTCTACTTAAGCAGTTGATATGATTTTTTTCTCTGCATTATGTAGACTGTTGATAACATAAGCAAATATAATTTCTCCCCAGCTGTGAGAGAATATTAAATCCAACAAAGCTCACGCCCCATGATTGGATAATGTGTGTATTATTATTTAACAGAAGATTTCAGCTCTTTGCTTTAGACAGTACACTTAGGTGACTTCTGGATACAGTATTGAATGAACACTAATTCAGATTTGAATGAAGAATTTTTTTTTTTTTTAAGAGAATAAATCTTGTAACTTGTACCCTAGACTTTTTGTCTGTTGTAGAGGTAAGAAATTAGCTCTAACAAACACTTATAAAATTAGTTCTAAAATGCATTGTGAGTAATCAGAGCCACTAGGTAGTTTACACTTGCTAGACAGCCTGTGAAGTGACTACTTTAAACTAACCGGCTGATTCTAGAAGGGCCCATTTTGGTCAACCTAGGCATTTCAGAGTGTTATCAAATGTGCAAAGTCCCATTTGATGCTTTTGATGTAATAGTGTATCCAAGCCACAGCTGGAGGGTATTATACATGAATTGGTTTTTGATAAGTCATTCTTTCTGGTTCCTCTTTTTCTTGGGTTTTCAGTCCTTWTCACTTTAAAGCAACTGCCTCTCTCTCAGTCAATGACATTTACTCACTTTTCCACTGGAAAGAGGCAGCCTGTGACACATTTCAGCTTGGTGAAGAAAACTGGTACTTCTGCATCGTCTCTGGTCTGCCTGCTGATTCTTTGGGCTTTGCTTAAAATAGCTCTAGTTCACTTCGTGGCAGCCTTGGTGTAAACTGTTAGAGTTAAGAGGTAATAGAAAACCCTGGTTGTTATTGTTTTTGTTTGTTTGTTTAGTTTTTTGTTTTTTTTGGAATAAAGGTTGGTTTTCACCATTTATCAGGGGCACTTCCCATTTTCTCTGTGAGCACAAGGAGGTAGGAGGGGTTGTATTGACTTCCCTGCCTTACCGATCTTGATCTTTCTTTCCATTATGGAGACTTTGAGGCAGGGTTAKATTAATTTATGGCAGCCCAAGTTAGGAAATGATTTTTCTAGTCTGTTCTTAATAAATGAGAAACATAAACTTGGAGATTTTCCAAATTTATAATGCCATGAACTTGGGTTATATTAAAATATATTGTTTCCAACAGTTCATTATAAGAAAAAAGTTGTTTTCTTCCTTGGTAAACCACATCCCCTCCTAGATCACTTAAATTGGCCACTATATTTGAACCTGCCTTTTATGGCTGTTACTGTAGAGTGAATGGGGCAGTTGCTATCTCTTCTATATATGATGAATTCTCACTCTTAGTGTCATCTTCAAGCAGACATAATTGGAGAAACACTGGGTTTGATGTAATTTACTATCCTGAGTTCAATCCTAACTTTGCATAATTTTCATAGATTTGTAGGATTCTTACCTGTGTGATTGAGGAACAAATTCTTTTTTTCTCTCCTTTTAGACCGCAGGATGGTAACAAGCCCGCTGAGACTAGTCAACCTCAGTCTAGCACAGGGGGTTATAACCAGCCCAGCCTAGGATACGGACAGAGTAACTACAGTTATCCCCAGGTTCCTGGGAGCTACCCCATGCAGCCAGTTACCGCGCCTCCATCCTATCCTCCTACCAGGTCAGTCTCTTTCTTGTGGTCAGTGACTTAGTGGAATAACAAGTTGTCCGTCCGTCCCCCCCCCCAAGTTGTAGACCGTCTTGCTTTGGCTTCCTCGGGTAAAGTTTGTTGTCTTGACTCTCCCAGTGGTAACTCTGAACATAAGTAGTTATAGTCAAGCCTCAGACCTCGCTTCTCATAGCATTGCCTGGCAACTAATAATATTTTCTCTAAATACAGATAAAAATCTCTCGGTTCTCCCCTTTAATTTTGCTCTTTTAGTTAATTCTCAGAAGGATGAGAAGCAGAAATAATAGGAAGCCATCTTTTCCAGTWGGTAAAGTGCAGGACATTATAAAAGAAACTTCACCTTAATCATTTTATATTTTAATTCAACACACATTATCATAGTTCATGCTGGACACAGTGGCACATACCTGGGAGGCTGAGGCACAAGAATCCCTTGAGCTTAAGGCCCAGCCTAACAATTTAGCAAGACATAGTTTCAAATGTCTGTTGCAAGAATGTATCTTTGGTTAGTTTTCTTGCCTGAGATTATCATATTGAATTAATACAATTAGAATGATCTTTCATACAGTGCCTTTATTTAGAAGATTATTTATTCATCTTTTTTTTTTTAACTGATGCCCAGATTTCATACACAACATGAAAGGCTGTAACTGTAAGAAGAAAACAGTTTTGAATACTCTCCAAGGGAAAGCTACCATTTTAGAGTGATGTACACACCCTCTTTCATACGTACGTACATGCATACATACATACATACATACATACATACATGCATGCATGCATTTACCCTCTACCACCAAACAGCCTGGTCTTTTCAAAGGATCATTTTCATCACTTGAGAATGGTTGGAGGCAGTTTTGAAATAAACTCTTCCTACTTTCCTCAGCACGTTTTTCACTGAGTCAAATCTTTCCTTAGTGCACATTAATATAGAAGCAGCTGAAATCTCAAATTTGCCTTGAATATCATTGAATGTAACTGTTGTTTTAAATGGGAGTGGAGGATCCAAGAGGAGACTCTTAAAGATGTACAGATGAATTGTTAAAATAATTATTATCCTCTTCCCATTTAAAGCTTTATTCTAGGTACAAAAATATTTCCATTTTAAATTCATACTGTTGAAGTATAGAAAATGACTGCATTTTTAAAGATGTCTGTGACACCTGGGATTGTCTCGTTCAGGGCCTGGGGAAGTAATAAGACTTCTTCCTAAAACTTCTGTTTTTGTTTTTTGTTTTTCTTTCAGCTATTCCTCTACACAGCCGACTAGTTATGATCAGAGCAGTTACTCTCAGCAGAACACCTATGGGCAACCGAGCAGCTATGGACAGCAGAGTAGCTATGGTCAACAAAGCAGCTATGGGCAGCAGCCTCCCACTAGTTACCCCCCCCAGACTGGATCCTACAGCCAGGCTCCAAGTCAATATAGCCAACAGAGCAGCAGCTACGGGCAGCAGAGTTCATTCCGACAGGACCACCCCAGTAGCATGGGTGTTTATGGGCAGGAGTCTGGAGGATTTTCSGGACCAGGAGAGAACCGGAGCATGAGTGGCCCTGATAACCGGGGCAGGGGAAGAGGGGGATTTGATYGTGGAGGCATGAGCAGAGGTGGGCGGGGAGGAGGACGCGGTGGAATGGGGTAAGAGCAAACCTTTTCTCCTTTTACCTAATTTTGTTTCATCCATAGGATTTTCAGTGGAAAGAAGGGACTGAAAGACATAAGAAATTTATTCTGCATTTCCATGGACAATCTGTTGAGCTCAAGCCATCTTCTAAAACATGGAAATGTCATCATTGTGGCATATATTAAGTGGCAGTTTGCTTTTTTCCCTGCCAGTATACTTTGTTGGGTTGGGGAGAACAAAGAATGGTTTTGAAACCAGAGCTTTCAGTTCCCTTCATGGTTTCCAGGGGTGAAAAGCCTCTGTGGGTAATAGTTTTGGGATGGAACACACACAACCCTTCTAACAACCCTAAGTTTTAACTAATGCCTCTGAATGGTTGTCTGGAAATACCTGGTGTATATACTGCAGAAAAGGAATGCAGCTGTTTTTCACAATGTTTGTCCCTAAGTTCTATTTGTGCTCAGAATTGTTGAACATGATGATGAAGGTCTTGGTCCCATAACTTGAACTGTGGCCTGAGGTGCACCTGAAACAGTTTAGTTGGAACACACACAAAAAAATCCAGTAACTTTTTTTTTTTTTTTTCAGAGTAATGTATTTAAGTATAAATTCTCTCCCCATTGGAGATTTTTAAAGTCTAAATCGGTTTGACCATTTTGATTGATGGCACAATCTGGTTTAGAAAACTTTGTTTAGATGAATAACATGACCCTGCTACCTCTGCCTGCCCTTTCCCCTCCCTTCTCCCATCCCCTCTTCCCTTTCTGGTGTCTGTAGTTGATGAAGGTGAGGTATAATGTTGGTGGTTAACATGATCAGAAGGTTTAGTTCTGTGTGTGTTCTGTCCCTGTATAAACGAGTTTTTTTTAAAAAAGTTATGCAGAATGTATTAAGTATAAACTGGATTTGGTGCCAATGTTAAGGAAAAAGTAAACAGCATATGATTTTGTAAAAACAGATTTCAAAATTAAATAGATAAAATGTTGTTATCTTTGAATTTCAAATCTCTTTACTACCAGAGGTAGTTAATATTGTTTTGTGTATTCTGCATAACTTTAAAAATAGTCTTCAGTGAAATCTTTATTGGAAGAAAGTCATTTTATAACATGAAAAAATTCGTGAATAATTGGATATTAAAGTAAAATCAGCCTTCCAATTTGGAGAATTTTACATTATAAAGGTTTCACTTCTTTATGGATGTTTTAAAATAGACATAGACACTTGAAATTACTATCATCACGTCTCAAATCACCTAGAATTCTTAGTATTTTTCAATTTCAAAAACAATTTCAAATTTATTCATTGTAATACTCCAGAAGTAATGATTCTACTGATTTTGCTAGACTACTTACTGTTGTAGGGAGCCCCTCTTTGTGGATAAGAAGTCTCTCCTGGAGTCATAGACCATGGCCTTCCCCGTAGGTTGACCAACAGACTGTGAAACAGTCTGATGGATCCTGTGGGGACAGGACAGGGGTGTTTTCCCCTTCCCCCTTTTTTATTGTGGTGTGGTGATGGTTTTCAGTGTCTTCTGCAGGTAAGGCACTCAATGTTGTTAACATGCCCTTTTTCATTGCCTCAGTATTTTGATATTTTCATTGGCTGTTAAACGTGGAAACTTTTTAACATGCTTTGTCGCATTTATATGCTACAGGTTACAAAGTGAGAGCCTTGTATACACTTCAATACTTAAAAAGTACCCGTACTCAGTACTCAGCCGGCAGCATAATGAAAAGTGGGACTAGACACGGTGTCCATATGGAGAGGAAAAATATACATAGAATATTTTTAACAAAATGTATTCATTGTATAAATGGAATCCTTCTGTAACTTTGGTAACTGCATACTTGTTGTTTGGTAATGAACCAGAGGAGGTATAATACTCTAGAATTGTGTAACATTAAAGTGTAAACTTTTGTGTTAAAGAGAGAGAACATTTTATGGTGTGTACTTTTAAAAAGGAAACAAAGCTGCATGCAACAGCTTGAAATTGTATATTCAGGTATTAAAGGTGCAATACTGGTTAGAAAAAACTCCGGGTCTCCCACTGGGGAGCTGCCTTTATTTAACCAAAAAAGCTGAATTCATATTCTTCCTTCCCTCTTTAGAATATGTAATTTTATACTGCCGTAGTTGTTACTATTATTATTATAAACCAGTATGTCTATAAAGTTGCACCCCCAGTCCATGAGCCTTGGTATTTGTTGTAAATTCTCCTTTCACAGCAATTGTTATATCCACTAATGCCCTGAACTGTATGGCTTTATGCTGAAGATTGGCTGGATGCGTCCTCTGATGTGTGTTGTAGGCATTTAATGTGGTTGTCTCCTGCTTTATTATATTGTGACTTGTTAGGAAGCCCAGGGCTCTCCTCTGGGAGAGGTTGAGGGTGCACCTTTATGAACATGGAAAGGTTCATCACAGCAGTTGCCTCCGCTTGTTCCTCCTCTGTACACCAAGCTCTCCTGGTTTTTCAGCTAATGGGGGTGGGTGTTTGGGATTTAGGTTTTTTCCCCCCCAATTTGCCAAGTATTGCACTATTAATACCAGCCCCCGAAATGAAAGGAACCAACCACACTGGTGTGTACAATCAGACAAGCAAGGTTGTATATTAAGGAAGTTTGAGCAAGCTGCCCTGAAGAAAGGCATAGTGACAAGATGAGAGAGATGCATTGTATGGAGATGTGTTTAGCCAGTGCCCTTCTTCCCCACGAGCCCCCCCAAGGCTCAGAGCGGTACTGGCTTTTAAAGGGAAAGGCCTTCATTTCTTCGTTTATCCCCCCAGCAGCGCTGGAGAGCGAGGTGGCTTCAATAAGCCTGGTGGTAAGTTTTTGAGTATTACCATGGATAGTGTTTAAAAAAAAATACAGTCAGTTTTTAGAAAACTATAATTTTTTATTACTTTCCTAAGTGGTTTAAAAATGATCTATGCAAAAGAGACTAATGGGTACTGCCGGCATTGTCTTAGGGGTAATAAGGTTAAACTATGGTTACAAAACAAAGGGTTACTTGAAGTATTGAGCAACTGCTTCTGTAATATGGGGGAGAATACAGTTTTTAAATTTGGTTTATTTGGAGGAAAATTTTTGACTTAAATTTAACACTTATTTGGCACATAAAGATTGAGAGTGTATTTGGTTAATGGTTTAGAAGCAAACCAGCAAAGAAAAAAGCAAACCCTAGCAAACCTTTCACCAATGTTAAAGAGGCACTGCTCCATTTTAGCAGTGCGGGTCATTTTGAATTTAATGGATCCCCATCAAATGGTGGTATAGTAGATAGCTATGTGTGTTTGTAAGGTTTATAGCTTGCAAGACGTGCACTAATAATATATTATATGATCTTTCCTGATTGGCAGGACCCATGGATGAAGGACCAGATCTTGATCTAGGTAACTTTGAATTCTTAAACTTTGTTGTGCTTTTATAAGGGAATGAATGGCAAAAAAGTACATGCCTATGTGAGTTAAGAGTTCCTCAGCCCAGTAGATCAGTTTGCTTTCAATGATGTCAAGGTAGATTGGAGCTTCCTTTATAGTGTTCATCTGCTCATTGACTGTCTTAAAATCCATGGCATTCTTATTAGTGTTAGTTGACAGTTCTATGGTGAAACAAGACAGTAACTCTCTTCTGTTTTGTTCTCTCTGAAAGGCCCTCCAGTAGATCCTGATGAAGACTCTGACAACAGTGCAGTTTATGTGCAAGGATTAAATGACAATGTGACTCTTGATGATCTGGCAGATTTCTTTAAGCAGTGTGGGGTTGTTAAGGTAAGTAAAGCATTATAATTTTAGGTGGTCTGACAGAAATTGACAGCACGGGACACATAAAATTGAACTGAAATTCAGAGTTGTTCCTGAAATTCCCTGACTTTTCTGGATGTGTTGTGGTTTGCTCCTTAAGATGCCCCCCTCCCAACTGGGTGTGGTGTCACACACCTTATAATGCCAGCTACTTGTGAGGCTGAGGCAAGAGGATCACAAGTTCAAGATCATTCCGGGCAACTTAAATGAGACCATGTCTCAAGACAAAGCGGTCCTGGCCTATAGCTCAGTGGTAAAGTACTTGCCTAGGGTAGGCTGGGCCCTGGGTTCAATCCCCATTTTTAATCCCATCCCTAGCCATTTTTTCCTAGGAAAGAAATGCCAAACACAGTTATCATATTTGATGACTTCAGGTCATTTTTATAATCATCAGTTAGTTGTGGGTTGTTGTTTTGGGTTTTATTTTGGTACCAGGGATTGAACCGGGGTACTTAACCACTGAACCAGCTATATCCCCAGCCCTTTTTATTTTTCTTTTTGAGACAGGGTCTTACAAGTTATTGGGGCTGGCTTTGAACCCTGCCTCAGCCTCCAGAGTCACTGGGGTTACACTTGTACACCACTGGCTGTTAATTGTGCATTTAATAGCTTGGCATTATAAGAATGCCCTTCTCCCCTCCCCCAACCTGGATTTTATTCTCATCTCTTACAGATGCATTTTCTTTGATGTTTTATTTCACACATAAGCGTAAAATACCACCATTCTGAGGACTGGTGCTATATCAATGGACAAACAAATAAGAACACTTGGAGTTTACATTTAGTGGGGAATTTATAGTAAAAATAGATTTGTGTGGTGAGCTTTGTAGCGCACACCTATAATTTTGGCACTTAGGCTGAGGCGGAAGAATCACAAGTTTTGAAGCTAGCTCAAGCAACTTAATGAGACTCTTGTTTCAAAAAGGGATAGGGGTGAGATAATGGCAGAGGGCCTGTTATTCCCTCCCCCCCAAAAAAGGGAGAAAAAAAAGATTAATGAATATTAGATGGTGAAATGTTATTCAGAAAAAAATAAATAAAAGAACGGCAGGGATTAAAAAATGAGAAATAGAACCTTCTAACTTGTAGTGGGGCTGTATTTCATCATAGTGGAGGGCAGGGCTCCTGGGACAGAAGTTCAAGGGAGCTGGTGTGGCTAGGTTTTGGTCAACTATTATGGGGCTTTTTAGTGAGATGGGGGGGGGCAATTTTAGGGGTGTTAGGTCGGTATCTAAAAGGTTTGCAAATTCTATGTTCTCATAAGTGTATCACATGGCCTTTGAAGTACAAAAAAATTTTACATTTTTTGAAAGATGGCTGGGTTATTTCGATGTTACAGACACTGCTTCAGTAGGCATTCTTTTTTTAGTTGTTGATGTACCTTCATTTTATTCATTTATATGCAGTGCTGAGAATCGAACCCATGCCTCACATATGTGAGGCAAATGAGCCACAACCCCAGTCCCAGTAGACATCATTCTTATACATGTCTCCTGGTACCCAGTGCCTGGGTTTTTCGCTGTTGTATGTGCACTTGATTCTTTTTTTGTTTGTTTTAGTGATATTATGGATTAAACCCAGGGCCTTGTGCGTGTAAGGCAGGCACTCTACCAACTGAGCTATATCCCCAGCCCCAATTATTTTTATTCTTAATAGCTGTATAAAGTCACAGGAAATAGTGAGTGAATGATGAGCAATGATTTATGAGTCATAGATTTGTGTGTACACATTTCTGATTATAATCTGAAATTATAAAATGAACTTGCCTGTTAAATTGTGTTATTTTAAATTTTACAAGAGAATATGAAATCCAGAAGTGACTTGCCTGAGGCTGCCCTGCTGATAGATGTCCAAATGGCCCTATAACTGGAGTTTCTTGCATTGTCCTGCCATTCCCATCCCCTATTCTGGTCATTTATTTAGAAAATTGAAACTAAAGGGCAACGTATTGTCCTGTTCACTCTCAAGTGGGAAGATGCACATCGGGCATGTTTTTGCCATGAAGCTTAGGTCTGATTACAAGAGGACCATAAGGAATGATTTTGGAGTTACAAGTTAATTTTTTTGCGAAGGCAGGTTTACACATAACATTCACCACAAATAATGAAGATTGACTCTACCTGGTTGAGGAAGGGCTGGTTCTTAAGGTGTGCATGTCTCTAGTTTCACCCGATAACTGTATTGTTGACCAACTTCTTTAGAATCTGGCTGGCATTTCATAATCACATTCACCTCATCCTCACAACTGGGAACCCCCTGACTTGCTGATCTGGTGTGAGAAAGTGAGAAGGTGGTTTTAATTCCTTTCTCCTTGACTACTAGTAAGATTGTTCTAATTGGATATCCTCTCCTTAGTAGTTAATGCTTTCCATGTCACCTAGAATGTTTACTTATGCATATTTCTATGCATTTTGTGTACTTTGGTCAGTTTCTGTGATTTTTTTTTTTTTTTTGGTACTGGGGATTGAACTCAAGGGTACTCAACCACTGAGCCACACCCCCAGCCCTATTTTGTATAGAGACAGGGTCTCACTGAATTGCTTAGCGCCTCACAGTTGCTGAGGCTGGCTTTGAACTCTGATCCTCCTGCCTCAGCCTCATGAGCCACTGGGATTGCAGGTGTGCGCCACCATGCCTACCTGTTTACTGTTCTTAATTCCTTTCTTTTCTCTATAAATTTTTTAATCGGTTCATGAATCTTTAAATTTAAAAACCTCAATTGAATGTCAACTGAATCTAAGACAAATTTGAGGAGAATGACATTTTCTGATTATTAGAGATGTTAAAAAAAATGCAGTTATTTATTTCCTACGTTTGTTCATACACATGTGATCCAGAAACTGATTTTCATTTCCCTTTTGTTTTTGCCAGTATTTTGCCTAATTTGTATCATGTCCTTTTTAAAAAATAAACATATTGGTTTATCTATGTTCTTATAATGCTGACCCCTTTTTGAGTCTTATAAATGGATAGATCTCAAGTACTACCATATGTGTAAGCAGACATGTACATTAGCCTTCGATTGTGTGCATATTTAATGAACAAAATACACACAGGAAGACATTTTTGTACAGTGTGGCTCCTGAATTCAAACTAACTACATATAGTGCTCAGCTGAAGATTAAGTCATGTACTCTGGCCTTG